AAAGCCGGAAGTGGTACTGTGGCTCAAGTGGTAGAGCACTAGCCTTGAGCTGAAGAGCTGAGGGACAGCGCCCAGGCCCAGAGTTCAGGCCCCACGACCGGACCAAAAATAAAAAAGTTCCTTCAGCTTCATATTTTCTGATACTTAAAGGATAAACATTAAAATAGCTCCCAATTATTTTAAGAAAAATCTCTAGGGGCTATGTAAATAACACACTACAAAATGGATCAAATTGGCAGTCACAGTTTATCAGTGTAGGGTTTCTAACCACATGACTTTCACTGCTTGACCCAAATGGCTTCACTGCCAAATGCCTTCATTTGAATAGAAGATAGGAAAAATCAGTGAAGACAAAAAATTAAGTATTCTCCAAGTAGAAACTGAATTTTAAAATAATCACAAAGACCTACTGTTGAGGGAGGAAAAGTTCTTTGTTACAGAAGAAAATGTACCAAAAAATGTACAAAGAAATCAGTGAATTTTAAAACACTAGTTTGCAGGTCTAGAAAAATATGTGAATGCTATACCCCTTGCTACTTGAGAGGTAGAGACAGTCTGTGGCTATCCTGGTACTCCTCACAAAGAGCTAGATATGGTAGACATGACTGCAGTCCAGGTGGCTATGGCATTAAGAATTCCTATATCAAAAATTAACTAACACAAAAAGTGCAGTGCTCAAGGGATAATGTACCTGTCTAGCAAGTGTGAGGCCCTGCGTCCAAACCTTAGTACAAGAAAGAAAAGAGAAAGAGGAAGGAAGGGAAAGGAGGGAGAAGAAGGAGGTAGAGGAGGAAGAGGAGAAGGAAGAGGAGGAGGAACAGAAAGAAGAGGAAGAAAAAGAGGAAGAAGAAGGAGGAGAAGAAGAAGAAAAGGAGGAAGAGAAGAGGAGGAAGAAGAGGAGGAGGAGGAGGAAGGAGAAGAAAGAGGAAGGAGGAGGAAGAAGAAAAGAAGGAAAGTTCATAAAATTCCTATCTCTAATAAACTCTCCAAAAAGCCAAAGGTGAAACATGGTTCAAGTGGTAGAGAACTAGCCTTGTGCAAAAGAAGTTCAGGGACAACACCCAGGATCTGAGTTCAAGCCCTAGGACGGCACAAAAATAAGCAAACAAATTAACAATAGTTAAATCCAGAAATAGCTGGAGACTTTCTTGATTTGAAAAAAGAGTAAGAAACATAAGTCTTGAAAAGATGGAGAAAAATACTATTATTTGCTGAACATAATACTTTAAAGTCTTATAGAACCTAAGAAATCAATTAATTAGGTCTTTCATAAAAATAGTATAAAATTTTCAATTAAATATATATATTATTGTAAAGATACTGTAAAGAGGGGTTACAGTTACATAAGAAAGGTAATAAGTCCATTTCCTATGGAGCACTGTTACCCCTCCTTTGTTTTTCCTCTATCACTCCTTTTCTCTCCACCTCTCCACCTCCCCAACTCTTCCTCCTCCCCCACAAAGTTGTAAAGTTTGTTTCCAACATAGTGTCTGTTACAATGGGTCATGCTGTATCCTCAGAAAAATAGTATATTTTAAATGTTCTCCTACCAAGTTAAGAAAAAAATGGAAGAAGAGATTAAATTTACAATAGCAATACAAAACACAAAAATTATCCACTAAGGAATTCTGGATCCCTAGCCTCCACTGTCTGGACTTTCCTCTTCAGGAAACCTGTAACACACTTGAGGTACTGATGGCCAACTGTGAATGAAACGCCTGGGCTGGAATGGGTAGTGAGAAATATGCTACATCACATAAAGAAAACAGACTCTAAAGGTTACTAAAGTATTAAGTAAAAAGTAAAAGCCAGGGCTGGGAAGGTGGCTCAGTGGCAGAGTGTTTGCCTTGCATGCATGAGGCCCTGGGTTTGATTCCTCAGCACCACATAAGCAAAAAGAAAAAAGCTGAAGTGGCGCTGTGGTTCAAGTGGTAAAGCACTAGGCCTTGAAGCTGACGAGCTGAGGGACAGTGCCCAGGCCCAGAGTTCAGGCCCGACGACCGGATTCCCCCCCCAAAAAAAGTAAAAGCCATTCCTTAGGACCCCCCATTTTAAAAACAGGATTCCTCACCCCTAAAATCATAATCCTTAAAATTCAATATGATCTCAAATACTAGTGGATTTTTTGGTAACTTGATGAGATAAAGTAATGAGGAATATTAGCCTTAATTATATTGAAACTATAATGAGATGAATGGAATAGAATAAAATACTATGATATACTATGATGACTAACTATACTATGATATAACGACTATTTGGAAAATAAGCAAAACAAACAAACAACCCTCAAGAATCCAAGTATATCCTGCAAAATTAAGGAGAGCGAAGGAAAGGCTAGGTAGGGGAGGGATGGTGAGAAAGCTGAAAGGGGTGACAATGATCAAGATATATAGTATTCATAAACTGCTTTGTTAAATGGCAACTCCTTTGTACAACTACTTAAAAATGATTAAAAAATTTTTGCTTATTCTATAAACAAAGTGCAATTTTAGATGAGCTAAGATTTAATCATATCTGTTTAAAAGTGATTTAAGCACTAAAACCCCCAACAAAAGTTAGAAATATGAGGGTGTTTTTTTTTTTTAAAGCCCTTCATCTAGTATGTGAAAATTTCTTTACATTACGACATAAAAGTGCCAGGTACTGAGGGCTCACATCTATTATCCTAGCTATTCAAAAGGCTGAGACCTGAGGATTGTGGTTCAAAGCCAGCCTGGGCAGGAAAGTTCATGAGACTCTTAACTCCAATGAACTACTTAGAAAAAGCCAGAAGTGTAGCTATGGCTCAAGTGGTAGATCACAAGCCTTGAGCAAAAGAAACTCAGGATCAGCACGTAGGCCCAGAGTTCAAGCCCTAAACCTGGCAAACAAAAACAAAACAAAGAAACAAACAAGACATAAAAGTCAGTCATAAGGAAAAAGGCCTGTAAAGAAAGGACGTATAAGATATATAACACATAGTAAAAGGAGCAAATGTCTTTAGTTTGCCAATAGTCAACAGGCAAAAGATGAATAGGGAAGGTCACAGAAAATGAAATATATATGCCTAATAAATATAAAGAAACAATACCAGATTTAAAATGAAAGAAATATAGATCAAAACAACAGTAGAATACTCTATCCAACCAGGAAAAAAATAACAAAAACCATGAATTTATATAGATCCCATCATACTATTGGTGGGAGGACTGAATGATAAAATATGTAAGGAACCAAAAGAAGTAACATAGTTGTGTATATTTTTAAAGGATGGATTTGATATTAAAATACTTGTATGATGTTTATGATGTATGCAGCTCATAATTTAATGAGAAAACAAAAGCAGAGGCAAACAAATCCTGAAAATAAATGTTGTGGTAGTAGAAATACAGAAAAACAGACTGAAGTAGGCTTAGTATCCCCTGTTACAATTTCAAGGAGATTGCCACCAAGGAAATTCTGTGCATGCCCAGGATGCATAGTACTATGGATCCATTCATAGTCCCCATAATGCCATCCAACTTCCACTAAAACATGTCACCTTCCAACAGATCTAAAACTCACATTCACCTTGCTTTTTGGGCACCATTTCCTTAGGGAGACTTACCTTCACAAAGTTAAGGCAGGGAAACACTGAGCAGATCACATGACTTACAACTGATGAAAGCAGGACTAAAAGCTCCACATCACCCAGATGCAATGTGCTCACAGAAAGTTAAAACTTTTTGCTTTCAAATTTTCTATTCTTGTTAATAAACCCCCAAGTAAGGAGGGTTTACTGCATTGTTCTAGAAAATGCTGGGCTACCCTAACATACTGTACTGTACATTTTTAACTACCAGGGTGATGAGAGTAGACACTACCCAGTGATTCTGGTATGATTTATCTATCTCCCCCTCTCCTTTTATCCCCTACCCTACTCTTGGCCCCCATTTCACTAATGCTGTGACATGAGGACTAGAACGTTTTCTACAGTTATTTTTAGGGGTTAAATGAGAGGCTGTGTGGCAAGTAGTATATTGAAAATTATTAGCTGCTAGTTAGATGATAGATAGTAAACAACATTCCATTCCGTTACAGAGGTTTCAAGCTTTAATCTCATGTTTAAATAGTTTGATAATACATATTTTTTTTACGTGTGTCTTCTGTTTAACTCTGTTTAAATAAACATTCAGTAGCAAGTCTATAGTAATTGCTGCTCCAAATGCATTTCCTGCTACAGGAAAGAATTAGTAGAAAATGGACATCATTATGCTGAACAAGGGAGAGTTGACCTCACTTAGTAAAGGCGATGGTTTCACAAGGCCTATGCTCAAAACTCAATTACCACTGTGATGGGTTGTTTTCTAGTCTATCCTGATGACCCCAAATCACCAAGAATTGCTGATTAAAGCCACTCAATTAAATAAGTAACAGCAGAGCAGCTGATTTTTACAGAGGGAAAAACAAATCTTCATGAATATAATTCTGCTTTCTTCCTGTCTAGATACAAAGGTGACACTGAATAAGTTTGAACTTGGGACCTTGTTAGTTTGAACTTGGGACCTTGCACTTGCCACACAGGTATGCTACCACTGAGCCATACCTCCAGGTCTATAAATGACTGTTTTTACTTTTCATCTCTCACTCATGAATTTCCACTTACCCAGTCTCTTATCACCTCATCTACTGCAACAAACATGGGAAAGAAAAAGGCAAAAACAAATTTCTCAGGATAACATATAAGCAATATCTATCAAAATAATTTCTGTCCAGTAATATCTCCCAAATCTCTTAGATGTTTTTCTTACTGCATCTTCTACATTTTCCCTTTTAGCTCTCTCCTCCACTTCCTTTGGCCTTCTCTCATTAATTTTTCTCTTAGCTCTGTTAGTGTCTCATTTACAGTCACTTTGTTATCATTTGAGCAATCCATATCTCCTATGTACTCCCCAAAAGTAAGATATACATCTTTCTTTTCAGTTTTTAAATCCATAGCTCCTAGTAGAAAACTAGTGAAATGTTAGGATATTTCTTACCAGGTTCTGGGAGATCTAATTTCGCCCTCTTCAGTTCTGCCATAGAAATCTGAAGTTGCTCGATTACAAAATCATCTTCGAAGAAAAAATCCTTTGCTAGAGTCTCCTGAAGAAATTCTACAAGTTCTTCCATAGATAATTTCATTAGATGTTCTAAGAAAGGTAAGAGCAATATAAATGCTAAGTCAACAGTTACTTTAAGTTGAAAGATAACATACTCTTTTCAGGTGTAGCATATTTTACAAGGGGACATTTGAAAAAGACAAAATTATAACATATATGACATTGTATCACAAGCTCAGTAAGACAAAGATTTTTTGTATTTTGCTTATTAGTCTTCTAGTAATGGGCATTTAGGTTGTTTCTGATATTTTACTATTTAAAACTATAGAGGAACTTCCAGTATCATTGCCTGTAAATACTTCTAAGGAAATCATGAAGAAAGAAATTGGGTCCTTTGAGCCTAAGGTAACCAGAAACAGATTTTTGTTGTTTTTACTTTTTAAAGTGGCAAATGACAAACTGAATATACTTAGGATGCTCAATAATGTTTTGATATATGTATAATATTGTGGAATGGGTATATCAGCTTAATTTATATATCTATCACTAAATACAATTTAACATCTTCTCCCTTGGCAATTTTCATGTGTGCTATACATTATTATTAAATACAAAGACTGCTGTGCAAAAGATCTGCAGCGTGCAAAAGATCTGCAGCAGTGATTCTTTTGTCTAAAACTGTACCACTTAAAAAACATTTCTCCATTTCCATTCCTTTATTTTCACTCAGTTTTTGTTGCTTTATATAGGTATAAAGGAAAGTTATTTAAGCCTTAGAGGTTCATTCTCTAACCAAGAAAAACACACAGCAACAAGCAGGTTTTTCCACAGCTTTTTAGTTTAATGATCTGTGGGCTTGTAATTATTGGAAAGTTTATTTATAAAGAGTAAGAAAAGCTGGGCGCCAGTGGCTCACACCTATCATTCTAGTTACTCAGAAGGCTGAGATCTGAGGATCACGGTTCAAAGTCAGCCCAGGCAGGAACGTCCATGAGACTCTTATCTCCGATAAACCAATAGAAAACCAGAAGTGGCCCTTGAACTGAAGAGCGCGGGGACAACACCCAAGCCCAGAGTTCAAGCCCCATGACTGCCCCCCCCCAAAAAAAAATGAGTAAGAAAATTTGCCAAATTGAATCACAGGTCATACAAATAAAATAATTTAGGAGAGAAAAGAGCTATTAAAAAAAAGAAATATTACAATGTATTTTTACTATTATACAACTTACTAGGGAACAGTAAAATAGTATCTCTAAATAAAAATTATCCTTTGTTCTATACTGTCATCTATTTATAATCCAGAGAAAGGAAGGCAAGAACAGATGGAAAGGGAAGGAAAAGAAGAGGAGAAAGGATTTCAGCTGGTTGGATGATAGAGCCCTGAGATTGGGAAGATAATTTGAAATCTACAGTTTCGTTGCTGAACCTCAGTCTGTGTGCTGGGGAAAGAAGACCTGAGTGGAAGGAAAATGAGCCACAATGCCTCTGTATCCTTTTCTTCAAAAGAACAAACAATATAAAGAATTCCTGCTGAATATTCTCAATCTTCTGTAAAATATGGTGAATCTCACCCTAAAAAGCCATTCCACTCTTACACCAAAATATCTACTGTGTTCCAAACAATGCTAAGCATAGCAGAGAAATAAGTTGTAATGACACATCTACCCAGTATAGCCTTATAATTTACTTGGGATGCTGACCAGATCATTCAAAACTAATGTTAAAAGAGTGGAATAGTTATGAATATATGTGGTACTAGATAAGGTCTAAAGCTTTTAATAGTTCATCATCTCTGTCTAGCTAGCTATAACAGATATGTAAGGCTGAGTTGAGACATTAAAGATGAACAGGGTACTTCATATTCAAGAAGGAAAACTTTTTGTTTCTTGATTCTTAAGTAAGGTATGATAAATCAAATTTACAAAGCCCTAAAAGTACCTTTTTAAAAACTAAAAAACATAGTAAACCTTGATTTATTTATGCAACTCTATATACTGCCTATGCTTGCCCAGAAGCCGTGACGTATTCAAGCAGAAAGATAGATCTATAAGCTCCCCTTCTACAACTGGTTTTCTAGAAGGAGGAAACAGTAGTAGAAATGTTTTCTCTAGCCCCCTTAACTAACAGGCCTGTTTTCCTTGCTTTTTCTGTTTTCCTATTACAAACCTAAGATTCAGACTGATGAAAAGAGAAGAGTCCCAGTGGAAACCAACATTTATGAACAATATTAGAGATACCACCAAACTGTATTCCATTCTGAAAGTGTGAAAATGAAGTAATATAGGAGAAAAGAAACAAAGGCTTTTGCAATGACTCATCTAGTCATGAGAAAGAACCAACTGAAGATGATTTCTCCATTGGTTTCCAAATTTCTTTAAACAACTCGTAATGGAAGACAATGAATTTGGAGTAGGGACTGAGACATCAGAATTGAAATAGACTTCAGTTTTTATGAAGTCTTTGTAATTAAACCATTTCTTACTTCTGTGTAATTTTAAGATTGTGTAAGACATAGCAGTAAGGACTCGTTCTCCTTCAAAGATGTAGATATCCCATATTCTGAGGTTCAGCGTAAAAGGAGTCTGCAATGAAGAGCAAAACAAAACTCAAGTAAGGCCAAGCAGCTTTCCTTCACCTTGGATTTAGAATCTTATGACTGAGTTTTGTAAATAAATACTTACACGATCAAGGAAACACTGAAAAAACCATTTCATTGTGTAAAAACTTGTGTAGATTTCTTGAGAATCCTGAAAAAATAAAGACCTCACAATTTCTGCAACAAAATTATAGCAATGAAATATCACAACATAATACTCAAAGGTACAAAGGTTATGGGAGGTAGCTGCCAAAATTAAAAAACAGCAATCATCTCACTATAAATCTTTTTCATTTTTTCAAGTCTTTTTCTCCCAAAATTTTACTTCTCAAAATAACTCCAAGAATAGATTTTTCATGATAGGATTATACATTTAGACTTTCATTAATATATTTATAGTAAACTCTTTTTATAGTTTCATTATTTTATAGTAAAGCATATATACATTTCATAAGCAATGAGTTTGAGAAATGCTTTTTATACAATTTTGCAAACCTCCAAAATAACTGAGAAATAACACATCTGTAAAGGCCTTACTTTTAATATTCATAGAGGTAATCTGAATCTGAATTAGTACTCTGATAGACTATCAGTATTAAAATTTAAAAACCTAATGTCTTCAAACACTGGGAATTATAACTACATAGTAAAAGTTAAGTGGATGACATCATAAATTAATAATGCAATTGGGATCAAAGACTGAATTAAGTTATTATAGCTTTATTCTGGTGTCTATGGGTGTAAGTCAGTGTCACATCTACCTACCAAGTGTTGCTTAAGTTTGGACAGAAATTTATTCAGTATTTTTTCATGATGTTCTTGAAATCTCAAGAGTTTAGGAAAACCTTGGACAAAAAATCCTAGAATACAAACATAAAAACAATACTTCAAAAATAATACCAACAAAAGACCTCAATTTTAAAATGTCACATATTTTATTTGTAATTGTCAAAAATGAAAAGAAATACCACTAGTTACTAAAACATTTCCCTCCCCACTAAGGAAATAATTTTATGTAAATTTGGATAAAGCTTTAGTTAGTAGTATATTTAAACATTACCTAAAATTTGATAAAGTTATTAAAGATGATAGAATATTACTAAATTAAGAGGAAAACTAAAATGGTAAGAAAAAAGGAAATTAATCCATTTATTGAAGTCATTTTTAAAATTATTATTATTATTATTTTTTTTTTTGTCAGTCATGAGGCTTGAACTCCCATCCTGGGCACGGTCCCTGAGCTCTTCAGCTCAAGGTGAGTGCTTGACTACTTGAGTCACAGTGCCATGTCTGGGTTTTCTGGTGGTTAACTGGAGATAAGAGTCTCACGGATTTGCCTGCCCAGGCTGGCTTTGAACCATGATCCTCAGATCTCAGCTTCCTGAGTAGCTAGGATTACAGGCGTGAGCCACAGGCGCCTCGCTAAGGTCATATTTTTTAAAACAAAGGTATTGAGCCATATCCAAAATGACTAAGTTTTTTAATATTGTTCTAATCTTGACTATCATTTTGTTTTAGTGTTAATATATTCCATACATGTGTTATTACCTTTCAAGCTCCCTCTAAAAATTTCACTATTACCATGCCTCTAACGTTTTTAAATCACTTTTTAATCTTTTCTATACACTCTATTTAACATCAACTAAAATATGCAGGCACTATATGATCAATATTATGTTAAAATTATATTGTGTCCTAACTGCTTATACAATATAAACTGTAAGATTTTAGAAGTTCACTAATTACAAATGGTTAGTATTAGTTTGTGTACTGAACTCATTGAACTTTACATTGATTTTTATTCATAAGTTTCCTTTCAGATATTGATGTAATCCATTTAAAAGGACATATACTCAATGGACTTTATTCTCCACATACTATTTTCCAGTCTAGTTTCTATGCAACACTGAAAGCTATTACCAGATGGGCTGTTTTTGGTTTTTGTTTATTTTTAAAGAATCCAGGAAAAATGCAAGTTATGCATACTTTTGTTGGCTATTCATGATGTACAAATCAGCTCGTTTTAGAGGCTTATCTCTAGATATAATAGCCTTATTTTGCTTTAACTTTGTTTCCCTGACTTATTTGAGCCAAAAGCCAATCCCCTGCCTCCTATAGAACATTTGTTTCTAACAACTGACTATGTTCCTTCAAGATGTCAGGGAACACATGACTGTGAAATACTGTAATCCACCAGGCAGAACTTTAACTACTTCTCAGTTTTTGAAAGTATGTGTAAAAATTTCCAGATAAGAGATATTTTTCCTCACACAGCAGTATTTTCCAGTGAAATGTTTTTCCTTTAAAACAATCTATATCTCTTCATCAGTGCCACTTTTATGGTCAATTTGATAGAAATGAGAATTGGAAAAATTTTAAGGAAAGTCTGACTTTTGAAAAAGTCAATGCACTTCAGTAATAACTAGCTCAAAAATACTAAGATACCTCACATTGCTTCACTGTTCACTGATATTCCAGGCTCATCTTTTCCAGTCCTAGCTCTGATTCCATAGATTCAGAATGGGTATCACTTTCTGATGGGCAATTCAAAGATCAGAGACAGCCTTTAGTTATAAAATCTCATAGGCAGACATAGAAATACAAGTCTCTTAAGAACAAATTCACTCAAAATAATGATCTATACTGCACTGCAAGTACAAATGTCAGCACAGTAGAATTAGTATTGCTTTATAGATTAAACTGGTGACAATAATTGCTGAATCTAAGCTAGGAAACAGCTTTAAAAGAAATGATTGTTTTCTAAAATTAGGCAGTCTTCCACATAATTATATATCATTGAAATTGTAACATTCAATTGTACTCCAAAAGAGATCAGCAATAATATCACACAGGAAGGCAAAATAAAGACTGATACAGACTTCAAGATGCTTTTGTAAATGATACTGCCTATTGGATGAAAACTCAGTATAATAATATGTCTCTCTTCTGGAGTCCATTTATGGAATGCAAAGTGCCAAGAAACTGTTATTATGCAGACAGTAATTGTTAAAATAACTAGAAAGAGAGATAGTGACAAACAAGCAAACATACACACACAAAATTAGTCATCCTTTACACACAATATACTCACAAAAGCCACCTGGTTAGATCATCAGACTGAATATATAATAGACTATGGAAGATCTTAACTTTAATAATTATGAAAATAACATTGTATGTGGCAGATTCTCTACCACATAAAGCATAAAATTCTCAAAGTTAACTTAAGATGATCCAGTCTTGAAATAAAACTAGCGTTAAAATGGTCTTACATAGATGGCACTAGGAAAACAATTTTGCATTATATGGACAAATGCCATTTTTAAGATGATCCATTCTTGGAGTAAAACTAGCATTAAAATGGTCTTACATAGACGGCACTAGGTAAATAATTTTGCATTATACAGACAAATGCCACTTTTATTTCCAAAAGAAGTTACAATGGAAACTCTTTGAAATAAGGTTTAATGTATATCTTAGCAAACTAAAGAAAAAGGAATTAAATAGTGTGTAAACTTAAAAAATTATGCCTGTTTTAAAATGTCAAGTAATATTAATAGTAACTTAAATATTAACCTTAAATATTAAGTAACCCACAACATATTACCAGACTTTGATTTAAAATGGAAACAAAACTTATGGCTGAAAGAACTAAAAGCCATACTTGAATTATAAAACTACTTTGTTAGTATGTACCACCTTACCTTTATACACTAAGTGCCATTTCTCAGTTAATATTATTGGACAAGAAGTTATACCTAACAATCAGCCAAAGATAACATTTCACTGAAATGATAAGTGCATGGCTGTCTGAAAGGTTTTCTTGTTTTTGTTTTTAATCAAAAGCTAGTTTTTATTTCTTTTCCCAAATCCCTCTAAATCTAGGGATAAGTTTCTTTTGTGACTGGGGAAAAATAAGAAAATAAATTTGAAATGTCAACAATACCCATTAGAGAAAAGACAAAAAAATCAATAAGAATAGCAAAGTTCAGAAAACTATAATAAAGAAAAATGAAGGAAGAAATTAGTAATAAGTATTAACCAAGTAAGCTCTGAGACATCATACTTATTGTATTTATTCTACCAAACATCTTTTGATTTTGTTTTCACTTGTCTTTGGCCTCCTCTCTTCTTTATGGTTTATGATAAGACGTGGGATTTTCTTACCATGCATGGCATGTTTAGGGCCTGAAAAGAGTTTGACCAGGGCCCAGAAGGCATCTTCCTCGTTCATATACATGAGGAGTAAAGCTGTGATCTGGCTCATCCCCTGACAGTACCCAACTTCCTAAAGAGCAAATAAGACAACAGATATTGGAGGGCTTAACGTCAAATTGCAGGTAAAAGCACATAGAGAAAGTTGATCTATGAAGCATCAGGAAATGCCTACTTATATTTCTCAATAGATAATTCTGGAGACAAATATTACAATCTTTACAGCACTATGCCACATATAATAAAACTATGCTCAAGAATACATCACCCACTAAGACTAAATCTGAATCTATTTTTTGGGGGGACTGACCCTGGGGCTTGAACTCAGAACTGAGGTGCTATCACTGAAGTTTTTTGCTCAAGGATAGTGCTCTATCACTGAGCCACAGCTCTCTTTCTAGCTTTTTGGTGGTTAACTGGAGATAAAGTGTAACTCTGGCTTTCCTACCCAAGCTGGTTCCAATTGCAATACTCAGATCTCAGCCTCCTAAATAGCTAGGATTACACGTGTGAACCACCATAGCCCAGTTGAATCTACATTTTCAAAAAGTGTTTTCTAACTAGGAGAAAACAAGGGAGGGGTGACACTGGTCAAAAAGAAATATACTCATTACTTGACTTATGTAATTCTAACCTGTCTGTATATCACTTTTATAATAGAATTTAAATTAAAAAAAGGGCACACCAAACTGAAAAAAAGGTGTTTTGTTTGATACCATTATACTTTCTTTAAAAACTTCTTGTATTTATTTCATTCCATGTATGATGATTAACAGTTCCTTCCTTATTCAGATGCTTACAAATTCTCTCCTCATACAATTCCATTTGCTATCTTGTTTCTTCTGTATTTCTGGACACTTAAAGCTGTCCATCTAGTTTATGCTCCCTCTTGGAAAACTCCCATCCTACTACAGTCCCTATTTTTTTTTTTTGTCAGTCGTGGGGCTTGAACTCTGGGCCTGGGCGCTGTCCCTCAGCTCTTCAGCTCAAGGCGAGCGCTCTACCACTTGAGCTACAGCGCCACTTCTGGTTTTCTGGTGGTTTATTGGAGATAGGAATCTCACGGTCTCTCCTGCCCGGGCTGGCTTTGAACCGCGATCCTCAGATCTCAGCCTCCTGAGTAGCTAGGATTACAGGCGTGAGCCACCAGCGCCCGGCTCCTATTTGTATCTGTCCTAAGAATTCATGTTTATGTCACAGGAACCAGATGACCAGTTGACATCTGATATCTGGGTGTACTGGTAAGTCAGACTAATTTAAGAAATCTGAAAAAGCCACAAAGATCATCATCACAGAGGGTTATATGCACTTGAAGAGTATGGTCACATCCAGTCTGTGTATGATCTGTTAGCATGGTGTAACTAGCAACTGAGCAAAGAAAATTACTGGGGACAGAACAGTGGAATAAATAGTTTACAGAAATAATTGGAAATACTACATGACCTCAGAGCCTCAGAGCCTAAGAGAGAAGGTATAGCTATCCTTTTTAATGAATCTTGCCTGTTTTGTATCTGAAATTTCCAAAAAGCCCAGCTATTGCTTCATTTCTGTGAGAAATAATAAATGAATCCCTTTTTTAAACTTTCCCTAGTTTGAGTGAATTTCTACTCTTGTTGTTACTCTGAAGGCTTTAGCTATGATAGAAGTTAGCCCAAGGTTCAAAGGTGTTTTCCTTAGAATCTAATCAACAAGTATGTACTTACTACCCACATTAAGTCTTTCTCTAAATTATCTTCTCTTCTCAGAACAGTAAATGCTTTAAGAATAGTATTCTTAAATGGGTCTATAGAGAATAGGAACTGAGAACCTCAAATATTCATAGTTACATTGGAAGAAATAAAAATCTGTACCTTCTGAAACAAACAAAGAATAGTATGACTATTTTTCAAGCATTTAGGATAGTCTACTTCTGCTGGGCCTCACTAATAAATAGAATGTGATACTAAAAGGCAATTCCTGGAAGTGATAAAGTTAACAAGCAACAACTTCCTGTCCCATTCTGCCCATTCAGTCTTATGTTTAAAAATAAATACCACAAAATGTAACAAAACAATCTTGAGGGAGAAGGAAAAACTGAGGTTCACTGGCACACTATGATCACTAGGTTTTTCTACTTTCAAATCAGCTCTGCTCTAAGATCTCAGGGTTAGTGTAGGAGCTGTGAAAAGATCCACAGAGCTCAAAGAGACTGTGGGGACCATCTGGTCCTGAGGTGAAGAAATGTGTAGAAGGGCCTTGTTAGGTAGGGAGTGTCAAAAAGAAGCTTCAGTTGTTCCAAAGACCCCTCAAAGAACTTACCGTATTATAAATAGAATATGCAGCAAGAACATGGAATAAGGATTGTTGCCTAGAGAAATAAAAAATTACATTAATTATAAGCTTTAAAAAGGTGATATAACCTTCCTATACAACCATCTAAATATTTTTTAATTGACCGAAAACAAATTCAGATAAAATTATTACATTAATACATAAATTATCCCAAGCTCAAATTATAAAGTATTTGGGGACTATGTAACATTTGTTTTGATAAAAAGACCTTATACTAAAACCACGAAGGACCCTCAAATTTCTCAAGTGTATCACTCTCTTTCAATGAGCCAACTTATATGAAATCTTATGTCATACAACAGTAGAATGGCCTTTTGAAGTCTCAACTGAGCCTTCAATATAGCACCATCTACTGGTAGGCTGGGGGCAGTGAGATGGAGGATGTGAGCTATGCTCTTTTCCCATACCCAAAATTCAGGGATCCAAGACACCCAGGATGGAAATGAGAGTGGCTGTACTCATTATTCCTAATGATTCTCTAGTAAATTTTTTGCTTCCTGTCTCAGCAACGTTAGCCTCTGGTGATGCAGAGATCTTAGTTCCAAAGGTAAGAATGTACTTATTAGGAGATATAACGTGATCTTTTTTTTTAACTAGAAACTGAAAATGCCACCCAATCACTCTTTTCCAGGTTTCTTATGCTTCAATAGGCAAAGGGGGACTATGCTGGTTAGGGTAAATGATTCTGGTTACTATGGAGAAAATGGGTTACTACTACACGGTACACATAAGGCAGAGTAATTAAGGTCAATGGAAAATTGTAACAACCCAATTCAGGCAAGACTGTAAATATAGCCCAGAGTTTTCACTAATCAAGGTCTGGGTCATTCTACCAAATAAAAGCCCTCAACCAGTTAACACTTTCTGAGGGGCAAAGGGCACAAGGAGAAGACAGTAGAAGATAGTTGTAAATATCAGCTATGGCCAAATGGCAAGCTATAGAAAGGACTATAACTGTTAAAAGTATTTCTTCCTTATTATGGTATGTTCATACATATATTAACAATTTCTTCTTTCTCTCATAACAGTACTTAGGGATGATATTAAAGCAGAAGTGTCACTATCATCCAAGGACTTGGAATCTACTTGTAGAAAAAGGATTAGCATGTTTTCATTTCTAAGCAGAACATCTGTATCATCTTAGCAGTATGACTTTCTTACTGTCTTGTTGGAAATTAAGGATGGATTGAAGAGATCTGTGGGAGTATCAAGTGGATAAAGGTAGACTGTGATGGTAGGCACTGTGTATCAATCTGGCTAGGCTACAATACCCCATTATTCAAACACTGGTCTAGTTGTTGTATATTTTATAAATGTGATTAAAATCTATAATATGTTGAATTTAAGAAGAAACTTTACCCTATTCAATCTGGCTTCCCTGAAGAAAAGCTCACCTTGGGACAGAAGCTTTAACCCATACTAAGAGTTCTAGTTTATCTTTTCTGAGAGCCTGCTCCACGGATTTTGAACTTGCCAGGTGAAAAGCAGAAAAGCCACTGGTTTGTTTCATTGGCTGGATTATGAATAAGCCCATAAAACTGTACCTTCCATACCAAATTGTCATGTGATGACATGCCCAAATATACTTCCAATATTTTTAGTTTCATGTATGCATGGGGTCAAGTTTATTGTGTAAATTTACCCCGGTATTGCCAAATACTACAACTTTTCCAAACAATACAAACAATCTTTGAGACAATCTTCCTATGTATCTGAGGCTGATCTGGAACTCACTATACAGCCCAGGCTAACCTTTGATCCCTGAATATATATACTCCCAACTATATATAAGTTTTAATAAGTGTTATTATAGTTTTAAGAATTCTAAATCATGATTCTTTGCCACTATTATGTAGCATCTCTGTCAGTCAAAAATTTTCAGGTCAATTAGATCTTAAGTTTCACGTGAAATGGACTGAAATGATTTGCAAGAGCTTAGATTACTAATATCTAAATCAAAATTATAGTCTTCAAAGGACATTCTATACACTCATACTTTTACTTAATAAAAATGCTGATAAGATTTATAAATGCTATTTACATTTCATTATATTAAACTTTACTTACTTAACACCGTATCTGTCTCTAAACATAATATGGTCCCTAAATGTGCGGTTGACATCAAGGTCTATTTGTCTGATATCAGGTGAACAACCCCGTGCTCTGTGTTTTAATTTCTGAAGAAGAAAAAGAGAGGAATAAAGCACATTTAATGAAAATCATTTGTTGAAAGTCTGTGATAAATAGCAAAATAATTCTTGTTAAAAACCTCTCTGCTTCTGTTCGCAATAGCTAGGATATGGAAACAACCTAGATGCCCCACCACAGATGAATGGATCCAAAAATTGTGGTATCTATACACAATGGAATATTATGCAGCCATTAGAAATGACAAAATAATGACATTTGCAGGGAAATGGATGGAGCTAGAAGGAATCATGTTGAGCGAGGTAAGCCAAGAACGAAGAGACAAATGGTACATGGTCTCCCTGATAAGTGGATGCTAAATCCAAAATGTTAGGTGATACGACAAAACTAACAGGACTTAAGAAACAAAGAACTCCCGCTCATCTGGTTGAACCACTACTAAATATCCCCATGCTGCTGATCACAAATATGGTATATAACATGTGAACACTGTTATATATTACAGACTGTGATAGACAATTTGCTCCAGGAAAGTTAGAATGAACTTGTGACTTTGAAATTATGTAATCACTTAATCACAATCAAAAAAAAAAAAAAAAAGAGAACCTCGGGGAAGAGAGGGAGGGTGGGGATGGTAGGGGGAAAACAATGGAGGGGGTAACAATGTTCAAGAGGAAGTGTACTCATTACCTCACTCATGTAACTGTAACCCTCTGTATAGTATCTTTACAATTAAAAAAAAAACAAAAACCTCTCTGCTTTATGAAAATCATTCCTACAGTTAATCAAAGGAATACAAAAAGGCACACACAGAAAACTTTCCCTGTCCTCTGTGCTCCATCCGCTACTCTGTCCTTCTCTGGTTCCCTCAAGCTTTCCCTCCCATGGAGTTAAATTAGATTTCCATTAGAGTTTGCATTAAAGACTCAGAAGTTCTTCATGACTTGAGCCATGAAGTCTACTAGGATTTCTTTTTACCTTTTTTTTTTTTTTTACCAGCACATTTTTGTTTCTCATGGAGTTAACTTGCTTCATTTTTCAAATCCTTAAGGCTTATTCAATTATAAACTCACTATTTGCTACAGAAATCTCCAGCAATATTCCAATAGAATAGCCACCTACTTTTTGAAGTCTAACTTCAAAAGCAAAGCTGCCTACAGCCCAGCTCAGTTCTGGGAAGCCTATCACCATCTGCTGGGGCTTTCCTTGGCTTTGTCCATAGTTTTGGCTGATTCTTGGGTCTTATATCTTCACTTTCTTGGTTTATACTCTTACTTTGCTTTGGAGAAATACATTCTCCAGTAGCTCTTGTGAAAGGATGCATGAAAGAACTGTGAAACCTTGAATGTGTGCGATAATTCATTCACTTCCTTCATCCATTCTAAGCATACATTTTTTGTTTCAAAGGAACAGGTTCAGTGTATTCTGGCCTCCAGGCTGCCATTGGAATTCTTGACTCTTTTATAAGCAATCTATTTTTTTTCTCTTTGGAAGCTGGTAGGAGCAGTGCTCCCTGTGCTCTGAAGTTTCCATTTTCTCTTTGATTTGCATCTATGTTTATCCCCAGAGGTAAGCCTTGGTGGATCCTTTCAATTTAAGAAACTCATGTATCTCCCAGCCCTGCAATATTGTCTTTAGTAATTTCTTTGTCAATTTCCTCATCCTACTCATTTTCTTTCTAGAACTGTGATTATTATCATGTGGCACCTCCTAGGCTATTACCTAATTTTCTTTATTATTTCTCTTCAAATGTATTTTCTGGGAAAGTTACACAACTGTTACCTTCAATTAAGGTTTTAATTTTGTTATTTTTTATATTCAAAGACATTTTGTTCTTGAATATTTCTTTTATAGCTTTACTACATTTGTTTATGGTTGCAATGTCTATTTTTATTTCTCTGAAGACATTAACTAGAATTTCAAGTCTTAGTCTTGCTCTATAGACTGTTTCTGTTCTCACAAGTGCTTTCTTCCATTTGTCTTTCTTATCAGCCACTTTTCTCAAATGTATAGTGACTATGCTGTGTTCTTTTATTAAAAGTGAGGTGCTAAGCACAGCTCTGTGGGTAAGTGAGAGTTCACAACAGTGGTTTTCTTTGAATGGTGGCTGGTCCAGCAACTGCAATGCAGTCTCTGCAACTCAAATCTTTGGGTGTACTTTCTTATGCTGGTCTTATTACCCAGGGAAGGCTCTTCTCAGTTCCTGTGAGGAGGGAAAGCACCTGGTTGCCACTGCTCTTGAGCAAAAAGGCCAATCTGTCCCAAGTCAGGGACATTCTCCATTCTTCATTACACTGTATTCACAATAGAAGCCCTCCTACTAGCTCTCTGCTTCATCCTCTAGTTCTAGGCCAGCACTAGGAGGAGACAGAAGATCGACAACTGCTTCTCAAAGACTTTCACCCACCTGTGTCTGGTTTCATCTCTACTTCCAGAGGTACTTGAAGATGGCAATATGAACCTTCTGGAGATTTGAGAGCTCAACTGCATTATTCTCCTATTCCCCATTGCCAGCACAGAATTTAGTTTTCTCAGACTTGCTAAATACCTGTCTGTAGTCTGTTTTTCAAAAATTGGACATTTTCTTCTGCCATTTTCTTATCACTTGTGAGTTTGCATTTTTTTTAAACTATGCTGTCAATTAGTCCTATATCGGGAGAAAAGGAGCTAAATGACCAGTATGTTTTACCAAAAAAAGAGATTAAAATTTATACTTATGAAAAAAAAATTTATACTTATGTTTAACCATGTTTATGTGTAGCTAAGTATCTATATGCACATGTTAATATCGATCTGTGTACTAGGTACTGGTAATGTAAATTTCTTCTAAAATCAATTCCAATAAAAACATACAAAAACAACTCTTAATTCCTGACAAATTAAAACAGGTTATGTCTAGTATATATATGTGTGTATGTTGTGTCTTATAAGTACGCATTTTTTTTTGTTTTGAAGTGAGAAATCAAAGGGCACCTTCTATGGTACAGAGAATAGGCTAGAGGTATGGTTCTGTAGTAAAGAATCATATAGTCACAAAATATTATTGCACTGTATACGTGATAGAAATTGGTGGAGAAACAATAGCCAAGCTATGCAAACAGTCCAGATGCCCCACAATACATAAGTGGATCAAAAAAATGTGGTACCTATACACAATGGAAGTTAACAGCCATTAGAAAAAATAGTATTGTTATTTACAGAGAAATGAATGGACCTACAACAAGTCATGTTAAGTGAGGTTAGCCAAATTAGAGGAACAAACCACAAATGTTTCCTCTCATATGCAGAAGCTAGAACAAAAATACACTGGGACATGATAAATTATACAGGACTTCTAGGCATTCTCTCTCTCTCTCTCTCTCTCTCTCTCTCACACACACACACACACACACACACACAGAGGATACTCTTAGTAAAAGAACACAAAGGCGCAATGCCTATGTGCATCTGATCATATGAAATGGTATTTATCAAAATGCACTCCAATCAACAGAAACATGTTTTTTTTCTTTGTTGCAGTTTTGGTTATTGTCTTGTTAATTTGTCTTTGGGAGGGCAAGGAAGGCACCAAAATGGAGGGAGAAAGGGTGAACAAATACAGCAGTGTTACCAGATACTATGCTGAAAATGAACTATACAACCTGTGGGTCGGGATGAGAGGGAAACGGTGGGAGAGACTGTAGGGTCCGGTAGGGTCCAGTAGCTCATGCCTGTAACAATCCTAGCTATTCAGGAGGCTGAACTCTGAGGATCAAAGTTCAAAGCCAGCCCAGGCAGAAAAGTCCCTGTGAGACTCATATCACCAATTAACCACTCAAAACGTGTAAGGAGAGCTGTGGCTCAAAGTGGTAGAGCACTTGCCTTGAGCAAAAGATCTCAGGGACAGCACCCAGGCCCCAGAGTTAAAGACCCACACCCTTGAAAAGAAAAAAACTCGGAGACAGCAAGGGAGTAGGTGATATTGTCCAAAAACAACTGTACTCTTTACCTAACTTATATAACTGTAACCCTCTGTATAGCACCTTTATAATAACAATTTTTTACATTGGTACAGAAGGCAATATAAAAAAGTCAGCTTTAAGAATAATCTGTACATATGTGGTCTTTTACTATCTTTTTAAAAGATAATGAGCAAGTACAGGTCTGTTATTTTTCTACTGGTCTTCTGGAAGAAGATGAAATGTCAAAACACTGGAAGAAAATGTTTGATATTGTAAAAATTGCTTTAAAATAAAATTTAGTTGGGAGAATATGACCTAAACATATCTACAATGTTACAATGTTACCTTCTTTGGAGGACAAGTAAATCCAGCGCATGTGTGTGTGTGTGTGTGTGTGTGCATACACACACACACACACACACACACACACACACACACTCTTCATGAATGAAGTAAGCCCAGTTAAACAGGTAAAAAATTAATAGGTCAGAAATGCTACTTATGTCCTAAACTGTTGTCAAGTTAATGCACAGGACACAGTAGATCAAGTATATTTCTTACCTCCTGAAGGAAAGAAGGTAAAGTTTCTACAGTTATTCCAGAGACTAAGTAGGTTGAGATCCATGAGTATCACATTATAAGAATAACAATTTTGTCTAAAAGAAGATCTAATGAACCCATAAACCTAAGTCAGAAATATAGTAGAAGGTGTTTCATGAAAAAAATTAGAGGACTATCTCTGCAGGTTTATCTGCCAGATTACTAAGTCCAGCTAAGGCTGAAGAGGAGTTTGTTATACACAATGGATTGACTCTGACCCTCTCTCTACCATTATTAAGGTACACGGCTAGATCTAAGACAGATACAAATGAGCAACAATTACAAGAATAGCAAAAAGCAGCAGAAAATAACACTAGCTCAGGAGCTGGGACAGTTAGGATTTTAAATCCTATCTGTGCCCTTGCTAACCCTAAGTTTGTATAAAGCTTGTATAAAGCTCCTTAGCCTCACTAATCTCAGTTTTCTCATCTGCAATGACAATAGTAAAACTTACCTCTTGATATTATTGCAAAAAGTAAATGAAGTACTTCATATTTAGATAATACTAATATATAAAATACTCTCCCCTCAAAGAGGAACCCTATTGCACTGCTGGTGGGAATGTACACTAATACAACCACTTTGGAAAGCAGTCTGGAGGTTCCTCAGAAAACTCTACATCATACCATTCCTAGGCATTTATCCTGAGCAACAGGAACCAGGATACAAGGACACTTGCACCTCCATGTTCACTGCAGCACTGTTCACAATAGCCAAGATATGGAAACAACACAGATGCCCCACTACAGATGAATGGATCCAAAAACTGTGGTATCTACATACAATAGAATGTTATGCAGCCATTAGAAAGGACAAAATAATGGCACTAGCAGGGAAATGGATGGAACTAGAAAAAATAATTTTGAGTGTTTTAAGCCAAGAGCAAAGAGACAAAGGGCACATGGTCTCCCTGATATGTGCATGTTAAATCTAAAACGTAAGGAGATACAAGAAAGTAAACAAGATTTGAGAAACAAAGGATCTCCACTCACCTTGTCATATCATTATTAAATGACCCTATGCTGCTGACCACATATATGATATATATGTGCACATTGGAGGGAAACTAGGAAGAGGACACAGAAACAGAGGGAAACAGAGGAAAGCATACAACAGCGGGACCCATCAGCTGCACTGGACATAGATCAAAACAAACTAAGCAACTCAAGGGCAGCAATGGGAGGGAAAGAATGAGAGGGTTAGAAGGAACAGCTAACAGTATGCAAAAGGAAAGAAATGTACATATCACTGGATGTGGAAGAAACAGCTGCATTGTCAAAGCTCATAGAATTCACAAACTTTATAGACCATGATAATGACAATTTGCTTCATGAAGGTTAGAATGTGTTTGTGACTTTAACTAAGTATCACTATCTCACAATATTATGAAATTTGTGAAATGTAATCACTTAATCACAATAAAAAAATTAAAAATAAAGTAGGGATGGTGATTTCTCAAAATATAATTACAGTGTTATTATTAAGGTATTGTGCAGAGGTATTGCCATTGCATAAGTCAGGTAATAAGTACATGTTTTTTGGACAATGTTACCCCCAGAGTCACCCACTCCCATCCCTGTCCATAGGCTACAATAGTTCATTTCCACATAATGCATACTGAATAGCATGATTTAATTGTTCACCCTTCCCCTCTTTCCTTCTGCGTCCCTTTTTTGCCCACCTTTAAAAAAAACCCCAAAAGCATAAACAAAAACATCACAACCAACAACAATAATCACAATAAAGGTATGGTAATCTTAAAATACAGTAATATAAAGCTTTAAGGCAAAAATAAACATAACCAATTTGAAGGGAGAGGATTAGAAAAGGTATCTGCAATATATCTTGAAAACTCATCCTTCCTTTTCCATCTTATTAAAAACAACATCCATCCCCCACCAGATACTGTAAAAATGATACTATAAATCTCTTTATTAGTAATATAATCATCATTCAAATATGCCCCAATATTGATGGTTCATTTTAAGTACTTAGATTGATCTGTTTGAAAAGCATTTAATATTCACTGAGTTGGCAGACAACATTAACTATGATTTGAAACATAAGTAGACTCCACACTGTATTTGATGTTGTTATAATTTGTGGAGGGGAAGGGAAAAAACAAATCGTTTAAATAGGGATGCAGGTGGACCCATTGCAACAATGAGACGTACAAGTTGTTATGTCGAAAACGAACTTTACAACTTTGGTGGGGGGGGGGGGGAGGAGAGTTGGGGGATGGCCGAGGGAGGATGGGATGGGAAGGGGAAACAAAGGAGGAGGCTACAATGCTTGATAAGAAATGTACTCATTATCTTGCCCATGTAATTGTAACCCCTCTGTATTTTCACAATAATAAAAAAAATAAGTAGACTCCAGCACTAAAATAAATGTGCTTCATAAACTTAACCTAATAAAATGGTGATATCATTTCAAGTTATGATGTGAGTATCTTACATCACCTTGGAAGCTAATTGTTTTGCTTTTTTATTTCAAACTAACAGTTCGTTTAGCCACTCACACTATAAAGGTCTCTTGTTTCTTCTTTCATTTTGGGGATCTCAAGAAGGAGAGCCCAGACTTCACCTCGGAGCTGGAGAGGGATTCCTTTGTAAATTCTCCTATGAAACTGGTGAAAAGACAGAGAAATTGGATGTCACAGATGGATAACAACTTAGATAAGTTACTTTAGTTGGCTCAATTAGTATTTGTTAGTCTTATTTTCAAAGAATCCATGACAACTGATATTTTAATTATATTTATTTTTAATGTATTTAGACTGTCTCTTCTTCTGACTCTAAAAGGGAGATACAGAAGGAGAGAAGAAAACACACCAATAATGCTCAGTATACTAATACATTAATTCTCTTATGGCAGTGTCCCTTTTAATGGAAAAGGCAGTTAATGGCTTGAAGAGTTGTGAACCTCTTTTATTTATATACTCCATTGTGATATATTTTCTTCCTTTACCCCTCAGACGCCTAGAAGGCACTCCAAATAGAAGAAAGGATGCCTTGTGCCAAAAGTGTCTTCGTGCAGTGTAGCAAGTCCTCTTTTCCACCCTCTTCTCCTAAGGACCTCTGGAATAGAAAGATTCCACCTATCCAGTGGCAGACTTGTCTTTGGTTCCTCCATGTTGTCAGTCAGCCTGTCTGTCATTCTGTCTCTCTCTCTCATACAAATATACACATGTACACACGCTACTCTACTTCCATCCCTCCTCTCTCTTCTCAATTCTTGGTATTTCTTCAGAAAATCCTTGTCCTTTTCTTAAATGACACTGAATTTTTCCATCAAGAAAAAATACCAGTTTCAAATGAAATTCAGCCTAAGTCAACAGTATCATCAATTCCCCAATCCACTCCTCAATTAAATTTTTCCTTAATTACTCAAAGTGGCATCGAAATCTATTGAGATCACGACAATGTGACCTCAATTTCTGTCACTAACAAAAGTTCAGACAGATGACCCAATAAGGAAATGATTCATAGTGAACAGTGCTGGCATAAGTCCTTAAGAAGTAAATTATGAATCAGTACATAATGACCTTAATGATCAAAGTACAGGTTGAATACCCTTTACTTGAAAGGCTTGAGATTGAAAGCTTACTATTTTTGCAGGCTTTTTTTTTGCAGTTGTGGGGCTTGAACTCTGGGCCTGGGTGCTGTCCCTCAGCTCTTCAGCTCAAGGCTAGCATTCTACCACTAGAGCCACTAGTGCCACTTCTGGTTTTCTGAGTGGTTTATTGGAGATAAGAATCTTAAGGACTTTCCTGCCCAGATTGGCTTTGAACCACAATCCTCAGATCATCCTAGCTACTCAGGAGGCTGATATCTGAGGATTATGGCTCAAAGTCAGCCAGGGCAGGGAAGTCCATGAGACTCTTACACACAATTAACCACCAAAAAAGCTCGAAGTGGAGTTGTCGCCCAAAAATAGAGTGTGAATTTTGAGCAAAAAAGCGAAAGGGTCAGTGTCCAGACCTTGAGTTCAAGTACCATACCAGCACACACACAAAAAGCACTATGTAAGTGACTTATCTTCTACATTTCTTGAGTGAAGAAGGGGAAACATCTTGTATAAATATCATTTTGTGATATTTATATGAAAAGTAAAAATTTAATAGTAAGAGAATACAATAGCTAATGAGTAGACTGATTTCTAAGGGTCTGACTTTATTATACTAGACTAATACTTTCCCATGAGTAAAACTGGAGCTCTGACATATTTCTTGTATTACTTAAAAAGACTTTAGGTATTATTTTATTGCTTTTGTTCAATTCTGCACTCCACAATTGTTTATAAATTACTGTCATCATTAAAATTAAATCTAGGTTTAGAAAAACAATCCATCAAATTGCCATGAATAAATTAAGAAAAGCAGAAATTTTTTAGGTTAAAAAAAGCAGTCTTTGTGCTATCACAGAGCTAAAAGTTTTAAATAGATCACATGTAGAAAGGCTGAAAAATAACTATCCATGCATTGCCATTATCATCACCCATAATAACAAGTTAGGCTAACTTTGAATATTTTATTATGTGCAAGAAACTATTCTAAGCTATTTGTTGATATTTATTTCATTTAATTAGATCAACAATCCCTTCATAGTTTAATTATACCAACAACTCAATCTCACAGATACGGAAAGTAAGTCATAAAGAAGTTAAGTAATTTGCCCAAAGGCAAACCCTAGATGTTACCAATTAGTAAAAGATGACTGATTTTATAGCTTATAAAACACAAAGATGACTCCTTCCATGACCATACCAGACTGTTTTGCCTAACTGAGTTTAACAAAACACATGACATGGTAAAAGAAAAATATTAAGAAAATCCAAGAGCAGAAAATATTTAAATAATAATAATAATAATAATAATAATTCTGCCTAAACTTAGAAAACAATAAAAATGCCTCTGCAATTTGAGCTGTAGGAAATAATACAGGCAGTAATGTATAGAAAATCCTGGAATAAGAATTAAATTATAATATTCTAAAGTAAGATTTTTTTTAAGGCCTGGTGTGGTGGCTCACATCTATAAATCTACTTGCAAGACAGAGATCAAGAGTATCACAGTTCAAGACCAGCACAGGCAAAAAGTTAGTATTAAATTATACTTATTGATTTTCAAATATAGTCGGCCCCCCATATTGAAGGGTTCTATATTTGTGGATTGTCTAAATGTCTATAGTATAAGTGATACAACCACATGTAAAAAATATGGGTTTTTTTGGGAACACATTTTCCTTGTCATTATTCTTTACACAACAGAGTAAAGCAATCATTCACACAAAATTTACACTTAGTCTAGAAATGATTTAAAGTATATAAGAAAATATATGTAGACTATATAAAATACTATGCAATTTTATCTAAAGAACTTAAACATCCATGGAATTCGATACCCTTGGTGGAAGTCCTGGAGCCAGTCCTCTAGATACTACAGGATGGTAACTGTACTTACACAGTTAGTACCATGACTGGCTTATAATGGCTACATATCTTTCCTCATAAATTTTCAACTATCACAGAAATTTTGTAAAAAAAGGTAACAGTTATCAAGGCACAACAGTTATGATGAAATCTGCTTATTCTCCAAAGCAGCAGTCTAGTTTTTGTTGATAATCTTTCAATTCTTCTACAATCTGGTTAGATAGGTACAGCAGAAGTTTTCTACCTTACATATAAGGAAACCAAAACCCAGAGAAATGACTGACCTAGATCAGAGTTTTGTCTTCTTAATTCTAATTCAGGTCTCTCCTCCAAACCACACAATTTATGGAAATTACAGTCTTATTAAAGTCACAGTAGAAAGTAAGAGCTAATTACCCCAACTCATCAATGAGCAGCACTCATTCATTCTAAAATGAAATGGTAATAAATACTTGTTTTATGGCCAGTACTTACACTCATTAGAGCTATAAACATAAACAAGTTCTGCAGAGCTCACAGTGTGTTGGAAAAATATACAAGGAGATAATTACAGCTAAACAGATAATCTATATAGTCAAACGCTATCAAAACTGACCATGGAATGCTGGTGGGAGAGTATGGTAGAGACTGGCTCTCTGGGAGGAGACCGGAAGAATAACCACCACACTGTCCTCTGCAGGAGACATTTTCAGGGCTGCCTGGCCCAATTCACATCATTTGGGCTTCCAACTTAAAGCTCTTCAGCCCAGCAAGTCAGGCTCAATTTTGTGGGAATTTCAAAATTGCAAGTTTACATCATGAAACAAAAGTTGTTTTGTTTTTTTTTTAAGTTATTTTATATGCGTTTTGTGCCCCTATTGCCTCTTCCTGTCTTTATCTTCAGACCTGCCGCTTGAGCTCCCCTATAGCCCAAATAACACTTGTCTCCTAAATCTGAATCTGAAACATTTTAAACTACTACAAGCCCGAGTTTTTACTGACAGACGCCAAAAGGAAATGCTAGCACACAAGATGAAAAAAAAAATCAGCCTTTAACTATTGGAGATAAGAATCTCATGGACTTTCCTGCCCAGAACTTTCCTGCCCCAGCTGGCTTTGGACTTTGATCCTCAGATGTCAGCCTCCTGAGTAGCTAGGATTACAGGCATGAGTCACTGATGCCTGGCTTTAACCCTGTTTTAATTTAAAAAAAAAAAATCCCTGCTAAAATTTAAAAGAAAAAAAAAAGATTCAAAAATTCCAGACTCTCCAAGAATTCCAGACTCTCTTGCTTGTTACTAACAAGCTATATGACACCTTGAGAAATTTATTTTGAAATGATATAATTCCATTTTGAGAGCAGTAAAATAAAATGTTGGCTACTATAGTCTTAATGGTCCATTCAGTTATTTGTCTAACAACAACTGAGAAAACCCATATGTATTGCAGTAGGATGATACAATGGTATCATGACCCATTAAGTCAGAGTGGTTTTAACAGAAAAAAAAAAACTTCATGTGATAAGACTATATTTAAAAAACAATATGATTCCATGGGAAGGCAATCACTGTGAGGACAGACAGGCAACACAGCCCTAATAGAGATGTTTTCATTTATGTTTCAGTTCTAAAAAATTCAAATACTCTCTATAGGGCTATATTTTTCTTTTATGATATTTGTAGGACTCCTCTGTATTATTACAGAAATCTGTGATGAGAAAACACACCTCCTCTTTGAAAATGAAAAACCTTTGTTACTTTTTCACTGCAGTTTAAAAGCAGGTATGAATTGAACACAGTAATTCTTTTAGAAGGTACATTCTGTTTCATACTAAATTGGACCATATATATCATCAAATGATTCTAGCATTATAGTTATGGGAGAGTGCTTTAAAATTATACATCAAAGAAATAGTTCTGTTAGTCTCTCTTAATGGGAACTGCATTAGCCAGAGTTGCTGTCAAAGTAATAGTCTCATAGAACTGCTCATTTTTTCAGAGATTTACAGACTCCAATGGTTATATATACACTGGAAAAGCATATAAATTTGCATGGTTCTACAAATATTTTATTAAAGTGAATGTGAGACTAAAGTATAGCCACACTGCATCAAAATTCATCCTGTAATTATCACTTGAGCAATCTTTTCACAAAGGCATAAGATAAAGCAGTTGTCAACACTAGGTCTATGAGAGACAGTATACTATTAAACAAGAGCCTATCACTGCACCTAAGTTTCCACTTTGAACTAACTGGCCTTTCTTAAAAACATGTAGAGTTCTAAACTCAATTCTAAAATACAAAACTGACAACCCCAAGTGAACTCACTTTTCTCTAAAATAATGAAAGTCTAACCTTAAAATAATGATATTCTCAAAAAGAAAAATGACCAGTGAAGAAACTGTCAGTGTCCCCACTATTTTCACACTATGACTACAGTATTTCCCACTTTCATTGTTCTGACTTTTCCAGTGAAGGCAGAGAGCGGTGATAACAGAACTACTGTACCTGGACACAAATCAAGGCAGCAAAGTACTGTACTAGTAATCACTGCCTTTCTGCTCACATCTTAAAACAGGTCATTTAGCCACTTAACAAGTCCTGGACACAACAGTAAAATGCAAGAACTTAATTAAATCTCAGCTCTTGAATACATGTTTTACTAATGTACTGAATAACAAAATGGGAAGGACATGTGGAGTTTCTGCGTCATACTTACATATGATGGGTACCTCAGGAAAAAGCATTCAGGAAATGGAGCAACAATTTGAACCAACTGATTTTTCTTTCTTTTGTTACCAACACCCCCCCAACCTACCACCACCCTGGCAAAAGTACTGAGGTGTGAACTCAGGGACTCAGAGTTATTCAGCTTGCTTGCTTGCTCAGCTGGCACTCTACCACTTAAGCCACCCCTCCAGCCTCCCACAACACTATTTTTTACTCACAGAAACTAACTAGCCACATCTGTATGGCTGTTCAGATGTCCAGCAGTATTTGACAAACATTTTCTCACAATGACAGAGGTGAGACTGTCACTTGAAGGACATTGACATAGCATTTGCTGCAACTGCTAACACAGTATTTTACCTTTCAGTAGAAAATTAGAACTGTGGAAAACTTCTACCTCCAAGAACTTGACTGTATCTCATTATTTCAAGCTTTCTCTGGTGACACTAAGGTAGTGACCTTAACGGATGTATGGTGGATTTTATTTAACTGGTTTAAAATTTGGCACAAACTCTACTCAGGGCAAGAAGATTTAAGAGGAGATTTTAAACAAGAAGCTTCTGGAAGAGGAGATTGCTCCTGTTTGCAAGGAAAGTGTTCAGAGGCCAGCTTCTTTCTGAGCAGTGTGACACATGGATATGAAGCCTAGAGCTGCTGCCATGATTAAGATCCCTAAGGGAAGCCAATTTCTAGATGAAGCTGACACTGCAGAAGGCAGAGAGTAGGAGGAAGAAACTAAGTTACAGCACTGAGGAGCTGAATTAAATCCTTCTTACAAGCCAGGCTGCCTCTGGACCACAAAGCCGAGCCTCTGAAAAGCTGAAATCAATCTGAGTTGGGTATTCTATTATTTATAGCACAAGCCTCCAAAGATAAAGAATACCTTCTGATTAATGAAAGTTTCAAAAATAATATGAATGTAACACTTTTACAATTGAAGAAAAACTGTTACTCTGAAAATATACAGTGGATGTATAGTTCATATGGAAATCATATTATTTTAACTTACCTTTTCAGTGTTCTTGTATTTTTCCCATCCCTTTAACATTTTCAGCCATTTGGTAGTTCTTTCGATTTCCAAATGTTTTTGCTAAAATAAAATTGAAATATATGTTTTTATTATTTGTTTGAAGCTTATTTATAAAACTACAAAAAATAAAATGCTGTTAAAGCTGTGCTATCTTATTTTTTTAAAATCTCAATTTTTTAAATTGGATGTTAGTTATATAAATATAGAATTCTACATTAAGAATTATAAACCAGACACTGGTGTCTCATGCTTATAATGCAGCTACACAGAAGACTGAGATCTAAGGATCACGGCTCAAAACCAGCCCCAGCAGAAAAAGTCCATGAGACTTTTATCTCCCATTAGCCATCAAAAAGCTACAAGTGGACATGGGTCTTAAGTGGTAGAGCACTAGTTTTGAGCAAAAAAAGCCAAGGGAAAGCAAGAATCCCTGAGATTGAGCCCCAGTATGGACACGTGGTCAGGGAGGGACACACATACACACGCACATATAGTATTATAGAGAATAAATAATTTAAGTAAAATTATATACATACAGATGGATAGTTTATTCTTGATAATAATTTAAGGTAAATCACCCAAAACCTTGTGTGTAATTTTTTTTGTGTGTATATGACAGTCCTAGGACTTGGACTCAGTGCCTAGATACTGTCCTTGAGCTTTTTTAAAAAAAATTATATATATATATTTATTTATTATAAAGATACTGTACAGAGAGGTTACAGTTGCATGAGTAGGGTAATGAGTACATTTCCAATCAAGCATTGTTACCTCTTCCTTCGATTTTCCCCCACCATCACTTCCCTCCCTCCCTCCCTCCCCCCTCCTCCCTCACCCCCCCCCTCCATTGTAACGTTCATTTTCAACATAATGTCCTTGTATATTTCATCATTACAATGGGTCAACCTGCATCCTCATTTAAGTATTCCACTATACCCCTTCTCCTCCCCTAATTACAAAAATGTATATACAAGATGCAGAATACCAGAATCAAATATAGTGAAAACAGGGGTTATACCGTGGGGGAAAAAGAAACAAAAGAATCACATAGTGCGCTATAAGTACATTAAAAACAACAGCAAGAAAGAAAAAACCCCTTGTGTCCCTGTCTTGGGGAACATTTTGGTTAACATCATCTCATTGTCCCTGAGCTTTTTTTGCTCAAGGCTAGCAGTCTACCATTTGAACTATAGCTCTACTTCTGACTTTTTGGAAGTTTATTGGAAATAAAAGTCTCATGGACAGGCTGGGAAGGTGCCTCAGTGGTACAGTGCTTACCTTGCATGCATGAGGCCCTGGGTTCGATTCCTCAGCACCATATAAGCAGAAAAAAGCTGGAAGTAGAGCTGTGGCTGAAGTAGTAGGGTGCTAGCCTTAAGATGAAGAGCTGAAGGACAGCATCTAGGGCCAGAGTGCAGGCCCCACGACAAAAAAAAAAATTAAAAAAAAATTCTCATGGACTTTTCCGCCTGAGCTGACTTCAAACTATGATCCTCAGCTCTCCACTTTCTGAGTAACTAGGCATGAGCCACTAGTCCCCAGGTACATATGTGTGAGTATATACATATATGTGTGTGACTTATATAGAGATTAATATATACATTAAAAAGGAATATCTTAAATATCTTCATGCTGAGCACTGGTAGCTCATAGTTGTAATCCTGCTATTTGAGAGGCAGAGATAGAGAAGATGGCATTTCAAGGCAAAATTTCCATTCCACCAATGTGGTGGAGCATGCTTGTCATCTCACCTAGAGGGGACCGAGATTAGACTGTGGTTCCAAGGTAGTCTGGTCAAAAAAGTTTGTGAGGCCCATCTCAACAGAAAAACTGAATACAGTGGCACACACCTGCCATCCCAGCTACAGAAGAAAGTATAAATAGGAGGATTGAAATCCAGTCCAGCCTGGGCAAAATCCAAGACTCGATATTTTAAAAACCAGAGCAAAAAAACAGGTGTTACTCAATAGGAAGAGCACTTACTCAGCAAGTACAAAGCCTTATTTCAAATTCCAATACCATGGGGGGTGGGGGGAGGGAGAAGAAGGGGGAATTGAAATATCTTTTACAAAAAAACAAAAATTCAACTTCAAAATTTGAAAAATTTCCCTCATTTTCCTACATTCCCATATATTAATATTTTCACTGACAGAATTTTTGTTTTTTAAAGAAGAGCTTTCATTTATTCATTCATTTCCTTATGGTATGCATAAGTAGCTAGAGAAAAAATATACAAAAAATAAGCCCTCAAAACTCATATATGTATTTTTTCAAAATATTTGTAGTAAACTTGTTTAACCACTTAAAAAAAAAATAAGTAAGCTAATCTTAAACAGATTCTGCATGTGTCAGAAGAATTGAAATGAATGAAAAGATTTGGTACCGTGGCTCATGTGGTAGCAAGGCATACATAAGTAATAGTCAAAGCCTGATACTCTTCACTTCTTTGGTTTCCAGAAGCTCGCTCTTTCTTTCCTTCCTTCCTTCCTTCCTTTCTTTCTGCTAAGTACACCTGGGAGTACAGTAAGTATATAAACTAAAAGCAGGGCTGGGAAGGTGGCTCAGTGGTAGAGCGCTTGCCTTGCATGCCTGAGGCCCTGGGTTTGATTCCTCAGCACCACATAAGCAAAAAGAAAAAAGCAGGAAGTGGTGCTGTGGCTATAGTGGTAGAGCGCTAGCCTTGAGCTGAAGAGCTGAGGGACAGCACCCAGGCCCAGAGTTCAGGCCCCACAACCGGATTCCCCCCCCCCCCAAAAAAAAGCAATGGATACCAGGTGCTGGGCACTAGTGGTTCACACCTATAAGCTAGCTGATACTCAGGAAGCTGAGATTTGAGGACTGAAGTTCAAAGTTAGCCCAGGGAGGAAAGTCCTATAAGACTTACCTCCAACTGACCATCAAAAGGCCAGAAGGTTCAAGTGGCAGAATGCCAGCCTTGAGCAAAAAAAACTCACAGGCAGTATCTAGGCCCTGAATTTGAGCCTGAGCATTGTACACAGTATGTATGTGTACACACACACACACACACACACACACACACACACACACACACACAATGGGAACAGAAGATTGCACAAAAAAAGAAACTATTCTGAGGCAGTATCTAGGCCCTGAATTTGAGCCTGAGCATTGTACACAGTATGTATGTGTACACACACACACACACACACACACACACACACACACACACACACACAATGGGAACAGAAGATTGCACAAAAAAAGAAACTATTCTGAGGCAGTATCTAGGCCCTGAATTTGAGCCTGAGCATTGTACACAGTATGTATGTGTACACACACACACACACACACACACACACACACACACACACACACACAATGGGAACAGAAGATTGCACAAAAAAAGAAACTATTCTGAGGATATATCTTTTTCTTTTTTTTCTTTTTGGTCAGTTGTGGGGCTTGAACTCTGGGCCTGGGTGCTATTCCTCAGCTCTTCAGCTCAAGGTGAGTGCTCTACCATTTGAGCCACAGCACCACTTATGGTTTTCTTGTGGTTAATTGGAGATAAGAGTCTCACAGACTCTTCTTGCCTGGGCTGGCTTCAAACTGAGATCCTCAGATCTCAGCCTCAAAGTAGCTAGGATTACAGGTGTGAGCCACCAGCACCTGGCTGAGAATATCCTATACATGGGGACCCACGCAAGCATCCCCATAAACTTATGAGATAGATGTCTGCCCACCTGCAATTTGCAAGGCAAATGGTAAAGGTAGAGAGCTGGGCTCCAGGACCTGTACTTTTAACTACCACATCTTTGTCTCGGACTATCTTGTCTCCTGCCCTTATGCAGGCAATCACACTTATATTGGCAGATGGCATACGCCCACCACCAATATTTTTAGATATAAAAGAAGCATAAATCCCAAAGAAAATTCTCAATTTAGGAAAAGATTCTCACCAATGAGGACATTTTTATAAAATTTTATTTTTTGGTATATTCTTAAAATCCTTTTTTTTTTTTCATAAAAAGTTAAATTTATAATAAAAGATGATCACTCATGAGGAAAGGATACTGTTGTAATCCCCATTTTTTTCAAAACACTAAGCACAGTCTCATTACATTAGTGATACAATGATGCAGATGGTTTCAAAAATATGTTTAATTTTAAAACTCAGAAGAGCATTAAAATCTAATTAATGTTTCTGCTAAATATAACTGTAGAGAAGGCCAAGCTGTGAAAAACTGAAATTGATCCATGCTGCCCTTTTTTTTTTTTTTTTTTAATGCTGTTGTTGTTCTTCTATACTTCTTCAAAGTATAATCCCTCTTTCCACCAAGAGGAAAACTCCAAATAATTCAAGCCAACTCAAGAGTATAATAACCTATACTGTGCCAGGAATAACCCCACAGTGATATAGCAGGTTTCTAGCTATCTTTCCTTTTTATGATTTAGAATTATCAAAGAATCACTTTAGGAAGTAGTCATTCTTTTAAGAAAAAGACATACTGGGCTGGGAAGGTGGCTCAGTGGTAGAGCGCTTGCCTTGCATGCATGAGGCCCTGGGTTCAATTCCTCAGCACCACATAAGAAAAAGAAAAAAGCTGGAAGTGGTGCTATAGCTCAAGTGGTAGAGCACTAGTCTTGAGCTGAAGAGCTGAGGGACAGAGCCCAGGCCCAGAGTTCAGGCCCCACAACCGGACCCCCCGCCCCCAAAAAAGAAAAAGACATACTATATTCTAATGTTTACCATATATTAGATATATTAAATATTATATATTTTCACATGGCAAGTATAAAACACATACACACGATTTTAAAAACCATAAAGAATGCTTTTCTTTTCACATACATAAAGTTATGCCTTGGGAAAGCTTCCAGGCTGTTAGATTTAAAATTTTTTATATACCTATAGGTCAATTAAGCATAAATGTTAACTCCATAATGTTGTCAGTTCAACTTCACTAGGTTTGAGTGCACATGAAAAGTCTTCCTCTCCCTACCCATGAATCTATAATTCATGTCTAAGAAATACTTTCTATCAAACATTAAAGCTAACTATTCTAACAACTACTTTGAAGTAAGAAGTAACTGAAAAT